ATAGACTAGACTATAGACTAGACTATAGACTAGGACTATAGACTAGACTATAGACTAGACTATAGTCTAGACTATAGACTAGACTATAGACTAGACTATAGTCTAGACTATAGACTAGACTATAGTCTAGACTATAGACTAGACTATAGACTAGACTATAGACTAGACTATAGACTAGACTATAGACTAGACAATAGACTAGCTATAGACTAGACAATAGACTAGACTATAGACTAGACTATAGACTAGACTATAGACTAGACTATAGACTAGACTATAGACTAGACTATAGACTAGACTATAGACTAGACTATAGACTAGACTATAGACTAGACTATAGACTAGACTATAGACTAGACTATAGACTAGACTATAGACTAGACTATAGACTAGACTATAGACTACTAGACTAGACTATAGACTAGACTATAGACTAGACTATAGACTAGACTATAGACTAGACTATAGACTAGACTATAGACTAGACTATAGACTAGACTATAGACTAGACTAGAGTCTGAAATAAATTAATTGTATAAAAAAAATCTGTTGTCATGTTTGTTGATGTTTTTCCATGCAGTTTTTTTTCTTTCTAAACAAATTCAAACATTTTTATTAAAACTTCCTTATATTTTGAAGTATGTTTTATGTATAAGTAAGAGTACACACAAACATATACACTCGCACCACAGTGGCCTGTATGAATAATCCTTAAACAAAAAATATGTTTATTTTTTTTTTATTTTCTGTAAAATGAGAACAATTTTGTTATACAACTCAGTCATTGTTTCATAATAAAACATGCAATGTCACATTTGTTGTATCTTTATGTTATAGAACTTTGCTGAAGCTACGTTTCATATTCTAGTTGTTGGAGTTGTAATATTTTTTTTTTTTTGTGTGAATAAACGTCGTATGTGCATGTAAAAATTGAACGGAAACAGGCCACGTTTCCGTTTTTTTCTTTTTCCTTCATTGTTCTCCTTATTCATATTTATTTTATTTGTGTTGGTTTGTTTGTTTTGTGCCCTGCATTTAAAGAGCCATAAATGCCGGATGTGTAGACTATGAAGCTCGTATACCTTTAATACATTTACACATGCTTATGCATTCATTCACATACTCACACTATTGCTCTCTCATTCCAACTCACACTTAATCAACAAACATATTAAGTAAATACTTAAGTTTGTGGAAATGTATGTATGTATGTGTTCGTTTGTTTGTTTATAAATGGAGGACAAATATGTAGTTTTATTTGTATTTGTTCTTCTTCTTATTCTCTATTAAAATTCAGTTTATAGTGAAACAAAAAAAAAATCATTATAAATGAAATAGTAAATGTCTACATTAATAAAGTCTAAAACAAATAGTTTTATACAAAAAATATATTACAATATATTATTAAGGGTGAGAGAAGTTCAAGTATAATTGGAACAACTAACATGTCGTAATAATATTGAATGAATAAAAACAAAACACAATAAGTTTATTAGTCTTATAAATAAATATGAGGAAATTATATTTACATTTGTAGATAACTCAATAGTTGACCTAAAAATAGGAGCAAATATGTTAAAGGTGATGTTATTTAGGGTCTATTAATATGTAAATGATTGAAACAAGTTTCAATTGGTAGGATTATACAAATCAGACAATAGACTAGATTGTAGACGAGGCTATAGACTTAACTATAAACTAGTCTACAGACTAGACTATAGACTAGACTATAGACTAGACTATAGACTAGACTATAGACTAGACTATAGACTAGACTATAGACTAGACTATAGACTAGACTATAGCCTAGACTATAGACTAGACTATAGACTAGACTATAGACTAAACTATAGACTAGACTATAGACTAAACTATAGACTAAACTATAGACTAGACTATAGACTAGACTATACACTAGACTATAGACTAGACAATAGACTAGACTAGACTATAGACTAGACTAGACTAGACTAGACTAGACTAGACTAGACTAGACTAGACTAGACTAGACTAGACTAGACTAGACTAGACTATAGACTAGACTAGACTAGACTAGACTAGACTAGACTAGACTAGACTAGACTAGACTAGACTAGACTAGACTAGACTAGACTAGACTAGACTATAGACTAGACTAGACTATAGACTAGACTAGACTATAGACTAGACTATAGACTAGACTAGACTAGACTAGACTATAGACTAGACTAGACTAGACTAGACTAGACTAGACTAGACTAGAGTAGACTAGACTAGACTAGACCAGACTAGACTAGACTAGACTAGACTAGACTAGACTAGACTAGACTATAGACTAGACTATAGACTAGACTGTAGACTAGACTATAGACTAGACTATAGACTAGACTGTAGACTAGACTATAGACTAGACTATAGACTAGACTATAGACTAGACTATAGACTAGACTATAGACTAGACTATAGACTAGACTATAGACTAGACTATAGACTAGACTATAGACTAGACTATAGACTAGACTATAGACTAGACTATAGACTAGACTATAGACTAGACTATATACTATACTATAGACTAGACTATAGACTAGACTATAGACTAGACTATAGACTAGACTATAGACTAGACTATAGACTAGACTAGACTAGACTATAGACTAGACTAGACTATAGACGAGACTAGACTAGACTATGGACTAGACTAGACTATAGACTAGACTATAGACTAGACTATAGACTAGACTATAGACTAAACTATAGACTAAACTATAGACTAGACTATAGACTAGACTATACACTAGACTATAGACTAGACTATAGACTAGACTAGACTATAGACTAGACTAGACTATAGACTAGACTAGACTAGACTAGACTAGACTAGACTAGACTAGAGTAGACTAGACTAGACTAGACTAGACTAGACTAGACTAGACTAGACTAGACTAGAATAGACTAGACTAGACTAGACTAGACTAGACTAGACTAGACTAGACTAGACTAGACTAGACTAGACTAGACTAGACTAGACTAGACTAGACTAGACTAGACTATAGACTAGACTAGACTATAGACTAGACTAGACTAGACTAGACTATAGACTAGACTAGACTATAGACTAGACTAGACTATAGACTAGACTATAGACTAAACTATAGACTAGACTATAGACTAAACTATAGACTAGACTATACACTAGACTATAGACTAGACTATAGACTAGACTAGACTATAGACTAGACTAGACTAGACTAGACTAGACTAGACTAGACTAGACTAGACTAGACTAGACTAGACTAGACTAGACTAGACTAGACTAGACTAGACTAGACTAGACTAGACTAGACTAGACTAGACTAGACTATAGACTAGACTAGACTATAGACTAGACTAGACTATAGACTAGACTAGACTAGACTAGACTATAGACTAGACTATAGACTAGACTATAGACTAGACTATAGACTAGACTAGACTAGACTAGTAGACTAGACTAGACTAGACTAGACTAGACTAGACTAGACTAGACTAGACTAGACTAGACTAGACTAGACTAGACTAGAGTAGAGTAGAGTAGAGTAGAGTAGAGTAGACTAGACTAGACTAGACTAGACTAGACCAGACTAGACTAGACTAGACTAGACTAGACTAGACTAGACTAGACTAGACTAGACTAGACTAGACTAGACTAGACTAGACTATAGACTAGACTATAGACTAGACTATAGACTAGACTGTAGACTAGACTATACACTAGACTATAGACTAGACTATAGACTAGACTATAGACTAGACTATAGACTAGACTATAGACTAGACTATAGACTAGACTATAGACTAGACTATAGACTAGACTATAGACTAGACTATAGACTAGACTATAGACTAGACTATAGACTAGACTAGACTCGGACTATAGACTAGACTAGACTATAGACGCAGACTAGACTAGGACTATAGACTATAGGATATTAGACTAGACTCGACTAGGCCATAGACTAGACTATAGACTAGACTATAGACTAGACTAGACTAGACTAGACCAGACCAGGACCAGACCAGGACCAGACCAGACCAGACCAGACCAGACCAGACCAGACCAGACCAGACTAGAATAGACAGACTAGACTAGACTAGACCAGACTAGACTAGACTAGACTAGACTAGACTAGACTAGACTAGACTCTAGACTAGACATAGACTAGACTATAGACTAGACTATGACTAGACTATAGACTAGACTATAGACTAGACTATGACTAGACTATAGACTAGACTATAGACTAGATGTAGACTAGACTATAGCCAGAGACTATAGACTAGACTTATCGGACTAAGACTATAGACTAGACTATAGACTAGACTATAGACTAGGCTATAGACTAGACTATAGACTAGACTATAGACTAGACTATAGACTAGACTATAGACTAGACTATAGAATATACTGTATATTAGACTATGGACTCTAGACTAGCTAAAGACCAGAAAATAGACCAGACTATAGAATATACTGTAGGCTAGTGTATACCCAAGACATTATGTAGATTATATATGAAATTTTCTCTTTTCATAGAAATATTTTCCGATACACTCTACTTTTTGCAATTAATGTTTAATATCTGAAAAATCATCCATTTGGAGATTGAAAAATATTTTTAACATTTTACAGAAAAAAAAAAAATAATTAAAGAAATCACAATAAAAATTATTTAACTGTTACTGATATCATGGAATTTAACAAAATTGCATGAAATACTCATTATTAAAGACAATCTCTGAACAATTTCAGTAACATACACAGACATGAAACCAAAGAAATTATAAAAAAAATCAAGAAAACAATGCGAACGAATCAGATAACTGAAATCGTTTTTAAAAAACACGACGATTATTATCATTATGATTGCGTCTTTTGGTAAATAATAATTTTTAATATATTTCTTTTTTGCACATTTCCATTGCAGTTAACAGCCATAACCATATCATTTCCATTTTCAAGGAATAATAATTGAAAAAAATCTTTTCTCAATGCGAGAGGAAAAAGGCTTCCAGTAAACAAAACGATGAAATTTAAGTGAGAAAAGTTGAAAAAAAGTGAAGAAAAAACTTAACATTAAGTTGATGAAAAGTATGTCTTGCAATTATTAAAGCAGAGAAAACAAGACACAACGAGAAAGGAAGAAACAGAAACGGACGTGAAATTGTTTCTTACAACAATAATAAAAAGTGATAAGACGAGAAGAAAAGAGTGTGCTGTAGAATCGGAGAGAAGCATATTGTGTTGAACAAGTTTATTGTTAAAAAAACAATAAAATGAAGTGCTATAAATGTCATATCTTAATGCCAACAACTTGGCGTTTTTGTAGCTGTTTAAAAACACCAACAACAACAACTATGGCAACAGCTACAAAAACAAGAACACTAACATTAACACCTACAGCCAGCTCTACCTTTCTACGAATTTTTATGTTACTTTTATTTCTGCTGTTTCCAACACAAAATGCATTAGCTCGACTTCATTCCTCCTCAGCGTCATTACATGGCCTGGGCTCACCCGGTGCTGGCAATATTATTGGTGGCGGCAGCATTGGTGGTGGTGGTTCCGGTATGGGTGGTTCATTATCCTCTAAAGATGCACACGGTAAGTTGTTATAGTTTGTTTTTTTTTTTCTAGATTTCTTTTTCAGCTTCACGTCTTTTTTAAATAATTTTAAAAGTTTACGCTTTAGCTATGTGAATAATAAAAAAATAATACAATAAGGAAGAGAAAACATTTACAACGTGATTGTTTAAAACAGTGAAAGGAATAAAAGTTGGACTAAAGAGGGGATTTATAGAAATAATTTGTAGAAAATTTCTCTTTTTGTAGAAAATTTTCGGAAAATTTTTCTTTTATAGAAAATTTTCGGAAAATTTCTATTTTTATAGAAAATTTTCGGAAAATTTCTATTTTTATAGAAAATTTTCGGAAAATTTCTATTTTTATAGAAAATTTTCGGAAAATTTCTATTTTTATAGAAAATTTTCGGAAAATTTCTATTTTTATAGAAAATTTTCGGAAAATTTCTATTTTTATAGAAAATTTTCGGAAAATTTCTATTTTTATAGAAAATTTTCGGAACATTTCTATTTTTATAGAAAATTTTCGGAACATTTCTATTTTTATAGAAAATTTTCGGAACATTTCTATTTTTATAGAAAATTTTCGGAACATTTCTATTTTTATAGAAAATTTTCGGAACATTTCTATTTTTATAGAAAATTTTCGGAACATTTCTATTTTTATAGAAAATTTTCGGAACATTTCTATTTTTATAGAAAATTTTCGGAACATTTCTATTTTTATAGAAAATTTTCGGAACATTTCTATTTTTATAGAAAATTTTCGGAACATTTCTATTTTTATAGAAAATTTTCGGAACATTTCTATTTTTATAGAAAATTTTCGGAATATTTCTATTTTTATAGAAAATTTTCGGAACATTTCTATTTTTATAGAAAATTTTTTCGGAAAATTTCTATTTTTATAGAAAATTTTTTCGGAAAATTTCTATTTTTATAGAAAATTTTTTCGGAAAATTTCTATTTTTATAGAAAATTTTTTCGAAAAATTTCTATTTTTATAGGAAATTTTCGGAAAATTTCTATTTTTATAGGAAATTTTCGGAAAATTTCTATTTTTATAGGAAATTTTCGGAAAATTTCTATTTTTATAGGAAATTTTCGGAAAATTTCTATTTTTATAGGAAATTTTCGGAAAATTTCCGTTTTTTATAGGAAATTTTCGGAAAATTTCCGTTTTTTATAGGAAATTTTCGGAAAATTTCCGTTTTTTATAGGAAATTTTCGGAAAATTTCCGTTTTTTATAGGAAATTTTCGGAAAATTTCCGTTTTTATAGGAAATTTTCGGAAAATTTCCGTTTTTATAGGAAATTTTCGGAAAATTTCCGTTTTTTATAGGAAATTTTCGGAAAATTTCCTTTTTTTATAGGAAATTTTCGGAAAATTTCCTTTTTTTATAGGAAATTTTCGGAAAATTTCCTTTTTTTATAGGAAATTTTCGGAAAATTTCCTTTTTTCATAGGAAATTTTCTAAAATTTCTCTTTTTATAGAAAATTTTCGGATAATTTCTCCTATTATAGAAAATTTTCGGAAAATTTCTCCTATTATAGAAAATTTTCGGAAAATTTCTCCTATTATAGAAAATTTTCGGAAAATTTCTCCTATTATAGAAAATTTCCGGAAAATTACTCCTATTATAGAAAATTTTCGGAAATTTTCTCCTATTATAGAAAATTTTCGGAAATTTTCTCCTATTATAGAAAATTTTCGGAAAATTTCTCCAATTATAGAAAATTTTGGGAAAATTTCTCTTATTATAGAAAATTTCTGGAAAATTTTCTCCTATTATAGATAATTTCTGGAAAATTTTCTCCTATTATAGAAAATTTCTGGAAAATTTTTTGGAAAATTTTATCTTATTATAAAAATTTTTTGGAAAATTTCCCTTTTTATAGAAAATTTTTGGAAAATTTCCCTTTTTATAGAAAATTTTTGGAAAATTTCCCTTTTTATAGAAAATTTTCAGAATTTTTTTTTATAGAAAATTCTTGGAAAATTTCCCTTTTTATAGAAAACTATCGGAAAAAAAGCTATTTTTGTAGAAAATTTTCTGTTTTTATTATATTATCTTGTATACATCAGTCCCTGTTATTTCGTCTGTTATTTGACGACGTTTGTTATTTTTCAGCTTTTTTTCTCATACTTAATTTTCTTTGCCAAATAAATGTTAAGTATTTTTAACACTTTTTTCAGTTTTTAGTTTCTATTTGCGGTTGTTTTTTTACAAAGAGGAAATAGTGAATAAAGAAAAAAAAAAAAAAACAAATACAAAATTCACTATTGTTTGAAGTATAAAACTCATAAAAACATATGCAAATTCTAGTGTAAAAAAGTTGTAAAATTTTTTACTACCAACGTCACAACTACTTCATAATACTATTTTACACAATTGCTACAGTACAGTGCTGTTTATTTTATTTACATAAATTTATATCTAGAATTTTTTATTGTTTTTTTATTTTTGGAAAAAAATTTTGAAGTTCCTTTTATTATTTTATCCCATCTCTTTTTGTTGGTTGGTCTGTTCGTTTGACATTTCCACTGCGTTTTTTATTATCATGTGCTGAAATTTAATTTGGCGTTAGATTTAATATATAGATTTTTTTCAACATTTTCTTTCTTCCTGTTCTAGTAATTCTTCTGTATTATTTAATGTGTTAAACTGAGTGTAAGTTTAATTAAAGAATATTAATTTTATGTGTATTAAAATCATTTTAGTTTATTTTATTTTTTGATATGAAGAAAGGGGCATAAAATGTGAATATGTCCTTAAGAATTTTTATTGTCAACTTCCTTTATATGCTGACTTTATTACAAAGTTTTATAGCATTTATGGTTAGCTGGACTCTATGTTATAGTTCTTCCTTAAGTTGGACTTCCTGTGATGTCAGCTTGTACAAGTACGTACATACATATATTTACTTTGTTTTTATCCGATGCCATAAAAATTCGTTAATGTTAGAATGTATTTAGTACTTATCAGATGCCATCAAGACCTAATAAAAAGAGTCATGTTATTAATAACAACATTTTATTATACTGACCTCTTCAAAATTGGAGTTCGACAGAAACTTTGTTAACTCCTTTAAAAGTGAGTTTAGACTACAAGCTTTAGTACTCTAATCTAATGTTGTTCACATAACGGAAAATTTTAGAAAATTATCGGAAAATTTTTGTTTTTATAGAAAATTTTCGGAAAATTTCCCTTTTTGAAATTTTTTTTTAAATTTATCTTTTTATAGAAAATTTTCGGAAAATTTTTATTTTTATAGAAAATTTTCGGAAAATGTATCTTTTTATAGAAAATTTTCGGAAAATTTCTCTTTCTTGCGAAAAATTTCTCTTTATATGGACATTTTTTCTTTTTGTAGAAAATTGTCGGATAATTTCTCTTTTTATAGAAAATTTTAAGAAAATTTCTCATTTTGTAGAAAATTTTCGAAAAATTTCTGTTTTTGTAGAAAATTTTCGGAAAATTTCTCTTTTTATAGAAAATTTCTGAAAATTTCTCTTTTTATAGAAAATTTCTGAAAATTTCTCTTCTTATTGAAAGTTATCATAAAATTTCTCTTCTTGTAGAGTTTTCGAAATATTTCTCTTTTTATAGAAAATTTTCCAAAATTTATCTTTTTATGGAAATTTCTCTTTTTATAGAATTTTTTCGAAAATTTTCTCTTTTTTCTCTATCAAAAAAACGTCGAAATATTGGTCATAGACCTACAAAAGCATATATGTATATTCTGGGTCCTTAATAGATTCTAAGATGATCTAGCCATGTCCGTCCGTCCGTCTGTTTGTCTGTCTGTTTAGAAAATCTCTTTTTTTAAAGAAATTTTCGGAAGATGTCTCTTTTAATAAAAAATTTTCGGAAAATTTTTCTTTTTATAGAAAATGTTCTCTTCTTATAGAAAATTTTCAGAAAAATTTCTCTTCTTATAGAAAATTTTCAGAAAATTTCTCTTCTTTTAGAAAAATTTTGGAAATTTTCTCTTTTTATAGAAAATTGTCGGAAAATTTCTCTTCTTATAGAAAAATTTCTCTTTTTATAGATTTTTTTTGGAAAATTTCCTTTTTTATAGAAAGTTTTTGGAAAAGTTTTTTAAAGCAGTACGATTTTTAAATATTTCTATTGTTCTTACTAAAATGATTACTAAATGATTTTGTTTGAGTTTTTTTTTGCTATCATTGCCAAACAATTTTTAATTGCATTTTTTGTTAACACAATTTGTTTTGTTTAAAAACTTCTTTCCAACTCTTTTTATTGAAACTTTGCTGAGCTTCTAATTAAATTTCTAAAAAGTTTATTTCTTTTGTAGTCAGAAAAATTGCATCCACAAAAGTGACCCCTTCAATAGAAAATGCATCAAAGGATTGTTAAGAATTTTTTTTCTTAATTTACTTTTTTTATCGGAAATAAATTTAAGTTTTGTTCATCATCTTTATATGGACATTATTCAATAATTTATTATCACCCCTATTCATACATTACAGACAATTACTCTTTCTTTCGCGATATAAAGAAAGTTAAGAAAAATTCTTGTGAAATGATAGGGGGAAAAACTTAAAACTAAAAAAAAAAAACTATCACTAAACTATAAATGAGTATAAATTTCAGTTTTTATTTTTTCGCTTCTATATTAAACAACAAACTTAAGTTGAGAAGCTACAGAAAAAGAGATAAGAATTTAAAGAAAAGTTTTGTGTCTTAAACGCGCTCTAGCAATGATGAAAAATTTAAAATATGAACTAAAGTTTTTTTCTGGTAGCAGCTCGTTTTCTTGGCAATACTGCCACTTCTTCCCGTTTTCTTTGGTTCTTCAAATTCTGTTTTGAGCTTTGTCGCTGTTGCTTTTAGACTCCCTCTAGAATAGAGTTTTTATTGGAATAAAGTAGACAATGTTGTGAGTAAAAGTTTTATAGAAAAAAAAAACTATAGAACTTGGCTGAAAGACGCTAATATACGAGCTAAACATGATGTTGTTTAAAGAAAACGGTGTATAGAAAAACCAGCAGGATT